GCTCTTCCGATCTAACAATGAATCATGGAACACTACATCAAAAACTAATGATGTAATGTATGGTGATTAACATAACAATAAAAAATAAAAAATAAAGATACTGTGGTTATATTTTAAAATATATATATATATATATATATATACTTTGAAAAATAATCATCTGAGAAATTTTCCATTAGAGGAGAGTTTGATTCTATTTCAATCTCCACTGCTATTTTTCCTCTTGAATGTGACATTGAGGAAAAATATCTCTTTATTTTTTTATTAGGTTTGGAAAAACCTAGGCATCTCGTCATTGACCGTTACTGGAATAGCTTCTTCCATGAGACTTCTGCCTTCAAGTTTAGTGGTCTGAGTCACACACAAGGTATGGATTTCTACTTTATATTCTGTCATTCTATATGCTTTTATATTTCAGAGATGATGAAATTGTATGTCTCTTATCTTAATATATATTTAATAACAATTACACAATTAAATATTTGGACATGAATTTTAGTAAGTTGATAGAAAAACATGGATAGTATAATCTTTATATATATTCATTATATCTTCACTGTTTTTCATTCCATAGCACATAAATACAACTTTGATACAACTCTATAGTGTAGGTGTTATTATTACTCTTATTGAATCAAGGAGATTGCAATTCAGAAAAATTAACTTACATAAAATCAAAACAGTTGCTTAATGTCAAAGCTAAACCTCCTTGTGTATGACTTCAATGTCTTTGTTTTCAATTTCTTTGTAACACATTAAAAAGAGTGTAAACAGCAGTTCACCAAAGAGTAAGTGCAGATAGCCAAAGAATGATTAAAATATGTTCATAGTCACTAATATTCAAAAAGATGTTGATTTAAATGATAACCATGTAAGTTTTCTATTTCCTTTTTTGTCTTTATTTTTTTATTCCTTGAAACCATGGTGAAATTTGAACAAGTACTGCTTTGGGGAATGTAAATCACAACATAGCTTCTGAAAAGCACTTTGTGTAATGTATATAAAGAAACAGAAATTATCACTTTTTTGACCCAGTAGTTGCAATTCTGCTGAGATCTTTTTTTTTTTTAAGATTTATTTATTTATTTTATAGGCGGGCAGAGGGAGAGGGAGAGAGAGTCTTAAGCCGACTCCACACTGAGCACAGAGCCCAACGTGAGGCTCAGTCTCATGACCCCGAGATCATGACCTGTGCCAAAACCAAGAGTCCAACCCTTAACTGACTGAGCCACCCAAGTGCCCCTCTGCTGAGATCATTTAAAGAATGAATCAAAATATTGCACTGTTTATAACAGCAAAAAGTTGTAAACCCCTTGAATGCCAAATAACAACCTTATTATATTTGTATTAATTATTTACATGTCTGCTTATATTTTAATTTTACTTACCCATTGAGTATATGAGACACTTTCATTCTTAAAAATTTTTTCCATTGGTTCTACACTTTCAGTCTTTCCACATTGTGAAATCCATAAAAAATTCACCTACATTTTCTTTTTCTTCTTCTTTGTAATGGGGAAGGAGTTACATGTAAATAGGCAGCTTTTTCATTTACTCCTTTAATTCATCTAGGTTTTGCTTTTTTGCTATGTAATTATGATCTAATTTGATTCCCTTCATTTAATTTGATCTTTTCATTTGATAATAATAATCATTCTGTAGCTATTTATTTTTTGCAGCCTGTATTCAGATCATATTCTGTTATGTGTCTCTGTATTTCAGGTCTTATTCTAGTGCCATGCAGTTTAAATCCTACAATTTTATGTTTTCTTTTTTTTATGTTTTCTTATTCTATTTCTTTCTTTTTATGATCTCTTAAATAATTTATTTCTGGGGCACCTGGGTGGTTCAGTCAGTTAAGCATTCGACTCTTGGTTTCAGCTTAGGTCATGACCTCAGGGTCCTGAGATCGAGCCCTGCATCACCTCTGCGCTCAGCGTGGAGTCTGCTTCAGATCTCTCCCTCTTCCTCTGCCCCTCCCGCTTGTGTGCACTCTCTCTCTCTCTCAAATAAATGAATAAATCTTTTTAAAAAATGAATTAAAAACATAGTTTATTTCCTTTTATCACCTATTTATCCTTATAGAAAAAATTTAGAATAACTTTTTGTCAAGTTTCAAAGAAGTCCCAATAAACATTTGATCACAATTACATTAAACCTACAGACAAATTTGGGGAGAACATCTTTGCAATAATCTTCTTCTCCAGGACCATTTATTTCCTTGTTATTTTCAAGCATAGTGTTCATAAGTGTCAAAAAAGTCCATTTTTTGCATAGTAAAAACATAAAGCTTCCAGTACCCATACTTTTATTTAAATAATCCAAATAATGGGTGAAAGGGGCCAAAAGGTAAAAAAATAAATACATAAATAAAAATAAAATGCCAGGGAATTACCTCCTCTAAACATGGAGTTGTGTATGGGAATTATGGAAATTGTTTCTTTTACGAAAGTCAACAGTCTTATTACGTTAGTTTACAAACCTTTTATCTTTGTTTATTAATTTTGAACTGCTCATATATTGAAATGAATTTCCTTTTGTTTTTTTTGATTCCTAGTTCTTTATTCTTCAAGTGATTTCTGATATAGTTTCAAATTTAAATAAATGAATAATCCAGTTAGTAATTATATGTAATGTAATTTCTATGCAACACAGACCAACATTGTATGTTCCAATTTTAAATTTTCTAATTTGAAAAAAAAAAGATTCTGAAAGTACTTTCTTAATTATAATTTATATTGTTCTAATTGTCTTCACATCATTTTCAAATTTAATCTGATGTTCTCCTGCATTCCATATTGATATCTCTAGTGTCTTCTCTGATTTGTTTTTTCAATAAACAATGCACATCCTGCCTGTGTGGTGGGTTGACAGTTCAAGATGTACTCCCTGCTGTTCTATATAATAAAATCTCCAAAGGGGATTATTTTTTCTAGAAGCTTTCTCTAGAAACTTCTTGTTTGCTCTGGTGTTCTTATGTGGTATTAGTGTTGGGGTGTTCCTGATGATTTGGGGCACATAAACATTAAAGGTACAACCAAAATGGGTGCTCTGTTTCTTATATTGCTATGGACGTTTTTAGAGACTTTAGGGTTCATGGCCTTACTGTAAAAATTACCTGTAGGTATGATCTCACATGCCATGTATAGCATTTATAACCTTAAAACTCTTTCCACCTCTGCATGGAACATTTCCTTGGTGAATACTTGAGAACTATAAAGATTGTCTTATTCTTGACCAGCATTTACCTAAGTGTGTAGAGTGAAATGTTAATTTCAAGAGACAGAAATAGGTGTGATATGAGAAAAAAAAAAAAAGAAAAACTAAGTTCTATGATTAAATAAATTTGGGAAATGCCAACTTAAAATTTCCTTTATGGCAGGGTTTCCTAGGACTTTTTTTTTTTCTAATGCTGTCTATATTTCCATATAGAGGAAATAACATGTTTTTGGAATGTATATCTGGCTAAGAAACATACTTTTGTAAATATTGCTCTCAGATGAACTGAGTTAGCAGAGATTCTAAACTCCTGCCCTCCAGTCTGCTATATCCTGTGACCCGGCATTCAATTCAATTCAGGGAATGGCTCAGCATTAAAGGGAGACCAACTGACAGCTGCTAAGACTAGTGTTTCTCAGTGTGAATGCCGCTGCTTCATTTCATGCTCGGCTCTTCTAGGCATCCTCCCAGTCTCAACCCGACTTCAGCAACATTTTGATCTATATGTGACAAAAGGACATAGATAAAAATAATTTCTGCAAACATTCTCCTATCAACTTCTTTCTGAAATTTAAGTTCCTTTGTATTTACAAACTCCTCTAATAAAACTGCATCTCTATATGTGATGATATCGACCAAGACTAGAATTCTAGCCATTGACATTGTTTTTTCACATTGGAAAAGGACATTCACATCCATTTTATTCCTCTACAGAAATTTTTTTTTCCTAGCATTTTTCTTCCTTCGAATGAGTTCTATGCTATGGTGTAGATAGCTCAATATTTCATTTTGTTTTTAATAAGTTCACTGTCCTTTTTGTTATCTTTCTCTCAAAATTGGTGACAGGAACTAGACAGGAGGGGGAACAAGGGGGTCTTCCTGTCAGTGAAGAATGTTAACCTGCCAGGCTTTCATTTTGAAGCTCATTCTTGTCTACACATCTAATTAGGTTGAGTAACCAAGAATGAGATAAGAGTAGAGGTGAATTGTGATCGCAGAAGACATCCTGCTACAAAGCTGATACATTTATAAGACTTGAAGTATTCTTTTTCTTCTTCACCAGGAAGTAATCAAATGTCACTGAAGCAAAATCAAGATTAAACCCTTGAGAAAAAAAAAAATCTTAGCTGTAGCATTTTCCTGGGTCCTCTGACTGTGACATTTTAAAAAACAGGGCCAGCGGTGGGGAGAGGTTAGTTTTTTCTTATATCATACTGAGCTCTAGAGAATAAGTTGCTACTTCCTAGGACCCTAAGGAGAGATCCATGCTACAGGGACCGGCATTAGACTTGTAGTCTGAGAATCTGCAGTGTTCTAGTTTTGACTGTAACCTTAGCTTGAGCTAGTTTCTGTATTCTCTAGATTCTAATCTGGCATCACAAAAAATGCAAATCGGTTTTACTGAATAGGATATTTTTTGAAGAACAAACGCAATTGTTTATGTGAAGAAATTTCTAAACACTAAAATTACAAGATTTGGTTATTAGTATTGTTTGTATGGGTGAAAATAGGTAAACACAAAGATGGATTCCTGGTTTCTTCAGTTTTATAAGAAACAGGACTAGTATATTGCCAATACATACGAGGAAATATATTTCTGAAAAATGCATTAAGAAATAAATAGTAAGTTTTTTTTCTTCTGAAATCCATTTGTTTTCTAGGTAAACAATTGCTAAACAAATGCTTTTAATTTTCATCAATTACTCATTGACGAAAGTCTTGTTACCTTAAGGTGAATATTAGTTTTCTAGAATACTAGTTTTTCTACAAAAGAGTTTCTTACAGAGCAGTAGATATCTATTTCTATATTTGTATCTATATTTTTAAGATTATCCATCTTTGTTCTTCCTTTTGATATTCCTAATCCTTTATGTGCTCTACTTTTATTCAACATTTTCATTAAAAAATATCACTGGGGAGCCTGGGTGGCTCAGTCGTTAAGTGGCTGCCTTCAGCTCAGGTCATGATCCCAGGGTCCTGGGATCGAGCCCCGTATCGGGCTCCCTGCTCCACCGGGAGCCTGCTTCTCCCTCTCCCACTCCCCCTGCTTGTGTTCCCTCTCTCGCTGTGTCTCTCTCTCTGTCAAATAAATAAATAAAATCTTAAAAAAAAAAACACCAAATTTCAGTTATTCATATACCACCTTCA